CTCCAAAAGCATTATTTAAGAAAATAAAAGGGTTGCTACAAAATGGGGGCTTTCATTGGGCCGGCCCAAACTGTTGGGTCCATGGCACCCCTGAAATTCGATCTTGATTCCAGTTTCTTTTTTTTTCTTTTTTTTTTCTTACAAATGATTTATTTATAATAAATTAAAAAATTAATTTTATCATATAAATAGTATATAAAATTAATAGAAAAATGTAAACTATATAAGCAATGCCGGTACAGCGCCGCAACGGTTACGAAAATTAAAATTCATGTTCACCCCACTAGCTAACAGGGACGGGAATTACTCTGGTGAATCGAGGGCTGAGTATCCAATGAGCCAAGTTGAAGTTGCCATCCCTAACAAAGAGTGTCATGTTTGGTTACAATTTGATTTCCTTCCCATTGTTTCCCACAAATTGAAATGTTAAATGTCATTTTAATTTTATTAGTATTGTTTTAATTTCACTCTCAAAGTGCGCATGAAGCACCATAACCAACGTCCAGTTTGGTCGTTAGGGTTATGTTACGTGTAAAAAATCTACACTTATTCACGTCTATTTTTAAGCTAAGAATCGAGCATTGTGACAATCATGTATGTGTTACCTAGGTGCATTTTCATCATAGTTGCATTTAAGGGTTAGAAATCATACATTTGTCTTATTTTATATATGTTTTTAGTATTTTAACAGCAAATTGGTGAACATGGCAAACGAGAGATAAAACAGAAGAAAGAACCCTGAAACATTTAAAAAAAAACACAATCAAATATCGACATCTTACTATCATTAAGAATAGTAACAAGTCATTCATTGTATCGTTAAATTGTCGATTTCTTCAACATAATGAAACAAGTATGTGCTCATGGAGACTTCTTAATGACATTTTGACAAAAAAAAAAAAAAAAAAAAAAAAAAAAAAAAAAAAAGAAGAAACTTCGAAAAAGATCGATTGATACAAAAAAAAAACCCTTTGGGTTTTTTCAAATTTTTAGATATCTGAAACCTTAATTGTTGAAATTACTTGGGCGTTGGTGCTGGGCGATTTGTTCTGGTGATTATAAATGATTGCTCGGTTTCGGCGTGGCTGGTTTACTCTAACGACTTTGATGGTGAAGGGTTTTATTGTATCTAGTCTTGCTACATTTTTTTTTTTCTTTTTTCTTTTTGGGTTTCGCAAAATAACTTGTCTTTTGGTCTTGCCAAACAATAAAACAAGAAAAATATAATTAATGGGCATATTAGTAATTTTATGGTTTTCCAATTAGAAAAATAATATTTTTTTGTAGTCTTCTTTTAGTTGGTTTTCCACTTAATGTAACTAGTATTTCGAATAGTCGGCGACCTTTTTTTTTAGTTAAGTGGACTTGTCATGGATTCTTTGCTATTTTCCCTTCAAAATAACACTTAGGGCTGCAGCTATTTGAAATATTAGTTCTACTGGGTGGAAGACTATATTAAATTAGTCAATTTAAAAATATTTAATACCCTTACTTGTTAAAAAAACCCACAAAATGATACAAAGCCACAAACTCAAAGCCACAAAAACCCAACCACAAATAACACAAGACCAAATACTCATCTTCTTCATATTAAAAAATGCAAAGAAAACCTATATCTTTCATCTTTCACAAACCCACATAACTTCATCATTCAAATTCTTCGCAATGAGGTGGACACGCCCACAGGTCGGGTCTGACCAGGAACCGACCTGGACTCAGAACTGAACCGGAGTTTGCATGGGTCGGTTTCGATTCTTGTATTTGACAAATACGAGAATAGTCGCAACCTTTTTTTCTAATTAGAAAAAGAGTTTTTTTTTCTTTTGTAGTCTTCTTTTAGTTGGTCTTCCACTTAGAGAGTGTTTGGCTAAGTTTATAAGATGTTAAAAGAAGCTTATAAGATGTTTTAGAGCTTATAAGCACTTCCAAAGTGTTTGGTGATTTTTTAACAAAAGATCTTTTTTTTTTTAAATAAACTGTTGTAGAGCAAATAAGATCTTTTTAAAAAAAATACCTCTACCCCACATTTTCATTGAAGATCTAATAATGAGTAAAAATAGGAAATAAGCTCATTATCCAAACACTCTAAAAATTAATCCTAAAAATAAGATGTAACAGCTTATCACCTCTTAAAACATCTTATCAGACGTAAGAGCTTATCAGATGTTTAAAATAAGCTTCGCCAAACACCCTCTTAATGCAACTAGTATTTCGAATAATCGTGACCTTTTTTTTTTAATTAAGTGACTTGTCATGGATTATTTGCCATTTTCCTTTCAAAATAACATCGAGGGTCGCATCTATTTGAAATACTAATTCTACTGAGTAGAAGACCATATTATTTTTTTCAATGTGAATTCCTCGTATCGAGACCCGGCGTCTACCCCGCCACTCGGTGCGTTGACCCGATTATAATTTGTTTCGATTCATTAGTAGTAATTTAATTTTGAGTTCAATTATTAAAATGCATGCTTGTTCGAACGGAAGCGATTAAGGTTCGCGATTAATTGAATATGCTCGTATGCATAATCACATGAACCGTCTATTACATGAAAAAAAAATATATTACCGTTGCGTATATGTGCATCGATTCCCAACATGAAAATCCATTCTAGCTTAAAAATATCCTCATTGGAAAATATAAATATGTTGTAAAAGAAGGCACCACCTATGTTTTCCACAATTTCTTTATGGGCGGTCCAAATGCTAGCTTCATGGCAACAATTCGTACGTTCAAACTCAACTTTATGGGAAGCATGGTAGTTACCCAAACATCAACCGATAAGATGTCATCTACCAACTTTCCTATTGGAATAATAGAATAGGAGAAATAGAGAAATAATAATACATAATATAATAGAAACCCCCATTATGTTATGGGTTGATTTACATGGAATATATATAGAGAAATATTGCAAGGTAATAGAGTTTAACTAAGTAACTAAATCATAACTAATCTAGGTAACTCAATCATACTAGAATCCTAATATTACAAGAGTTTTATAATATAATATTCTCTAACACGCCCCCGCAGTCGAAACGTGGCGAACGCGAAGACTGGACAATCACTTGCTAACACGCTCCCGCAGTCGGAATGAATAAACTCCAAAAGTGAAGATTGGACAGAAACGCTAAATCCAGCAGTGGTGAAATCCTTGGTGAAAATATCTGCCAAATTAATAGAAAGAAAATAATAATAATAACATGGAGAGATTTTTTTTTTCTTTTTTTTTTTGTTGAATCGAGAGAGAGGGAGAAGATATGAGAGAGAGGAGAAAAATAATTAAAAGAAGATGGAGATTAAAGAGAGAAAAATTAGAGTAACCGACTAAGAAGAAGATGTCGGATAAGAAGAAAAAAAAATATAAGTTACCACACCGGGGGAGGGAGAAAATTTGGGTGGATTTCATAGATCTGATAGAAGAAGATTTATAGAGAGAAGCACCACCGGGGAGGGAGGAAATTTGGGTGGTGTTCATGGAAAAGAGAGAAAAAGACTTATAGAGAGAAGAGTACCACCACCGGGAGGGAGAGAATTGGTTTGGTGGTCGCCGGCCATGGAGAAGAAGAGATGTGGCGGCTAGGTTTTAGGCCATGAAGAAGAAGAAGAAGAAGAAGAAGAAGAAGAAGAAGAAGAAGAAGAAGAAGAAGAAGAAGAAGAAGAAGAAGAAGAAGAAGAAGAAGAAGAAGAAGAAGAAGAAGAAGAAGAAGAAGATGCACCACCGGGGGAGGGAGAAAATTTGGGTGGTGTTCATGAAAAAATAGAAAAAGAAAGATATTAAGAGTACCTCCACCGGGGGAGGGAGGAAATTTGGTGGTCACCGCCATTGAGAAGAAAGTGCGGCTATGTTTTCACCGCCATGAAGAAGAAAGGCGGCTAGGTTAAGAAAAACCTAAACCTGGTGCTCTGATACCATATTGGAAGAATAGAATAGGAGAAAGAGAGCATCTACGACAGGTCTTACCATTTTTTCACCAAATTCCATTTATGGTGGCGAAAAAATGGGTCATCTCCCACCGATAGCACACCATTTTACTCTTCCACGATTTTTGGTGGGAAAATGGTGTTTTTGGTCTCCAATTTGTTTCACCAAAATTTAGACCAAATATTAAAATAATAATATTTCACCATTTCACCACTTATAGGAAATGAGAGTTGGTTTGGTCTCCCATGGCATTTCACCATATATGCCCCAAAAATGTTAATCGTAATTTTATAATATTTTATTTCCTAAATATTAATTATAGATCCAATACTAAGTAATAAATTTTCTTAATTATATAATTTAAAAATTATGTTATCATTCTATTAAATGTCTATAAATGTCTCTTCTTGTATTTCATCAATTAAAGTGTGTTTCGCTAATTATTCTATTGTTTCTTATTATATTTTATTAATAGCAATTAGCGTATTAGTTAAGTAAAGAAATGAACTAATATAATAAACATTGACCAACAAAATATACAAATTAATTAAAAATAAGCATATTTATATTATTAGAATTAATGTTTTGTTAATAAAATCAAATGTATTTATATTTTAAAAACTAATTTAATAATTAATACCAATGTATTTACGATAAATATGCTAATAAGTTGGTAATCAGGGGCAATAAGTTAAAATCGTTATTTTATATGGTACTTAATAAAATGGTGTTAATTACGGCAAATCCTATTTTCACCTCTATATTTGGTAGGAAAAATAAGATTTGGTGGAAAAAATAGGAAAATGGTGGACCGGTGGGAGATGAAAATTCCTTCACAAAAAAAATTGGTGGAAAAATAGGATTTGAGTATTTGGTGATATGGGATTGACCACGGTGGGAGGCTAAAACCAAATCTCTATAATTTTAGGTGTAATGGTGATATAGGAATTTCAGGTGGGAGACTTAAA